ACTTTGGTAGGAATACCCTATGCTACATACACCATGGTTGCTCATGCAACTCTGTGTCATCATTGTGGAGATCATTGTCTTCTTCGTGAGATTTTTCCTAGATGGTTTGCATATCAAACGCAATGAAATATTGCAAGCAATATTTACCTTATACAATTGGTTACAAGTCTTCTGTCTTTTTCATCAGCAAACACGACAAGTCATTTAGAAAAGTTTCAGATTTTTATAATTACAATATACATTTAGATTGTTTTAATATTATATGAATTATATAACAATATAATTCTTTTTTATACAAATATGTATAATTTTGAGTTTTTAAAAAAGCTGCGATTTAGTTTTTTTTCAAAAATATCTGACAATAATTATAATAACAAAAATTGAGAAGATTTTTATTTAATTGATTTAACAATATGTAATATAATATATTATTATTTGTAACATTCAAAATTTGACCGATCTTGGATTTCTTTATCATATTTGATTCACATATACGGTCGTGCTTTAAAATTTTCTCAATATATTTTTATTTAAATTAAAAATTGAAATCTAATTTAATTTTATATGAATTAGATTGTACGTGATATCTAAATATGTATAACAATTAGAATTATTTTATTTATTTAACTTCATTAAATTACAGTTTATATAGAGAGATTTGGTAAACTTTTTATATAATATTTATAAAATTATTTTCTTTAAATTAACCCTTCTTAAATTTAATTAGCAATATCGACAAGCTCATGAAAATGCTTATCCAAATGAGAGTAGAGATAAAGCCATAATAAACAGACGGTTCTGATATCATCCAACCCCTGGCCAGCATTGATCTCATCGAATCTGTGCTCTTCGTTAGGGGTAGTAAAAAACTAATATATTTCAAAAAGGGATGCATGCCCTCTATGGGCCAGATAATGCCGCACAACATCACAATTGGAAGAAAAGAACCCATTGCCACGTATGTGGCGCTCCTTTCATTGTCACAGAAACAGGCGATTACAAATCCTGAAAATTAAATTTGTTTTCGAATAATTTTTGAAGAAACAAAGTATATGTAATCAACAAAAGTATAGTATAATGTTTTTTTTGACAAGAAAACACTTTTTTTATAATCTCTTACATAAAATTTTTCTTCTTTTTACATTTTTACAAAGTTATTGTAACTTGATAATAATCGCGAACATTTAATAAAAATTGAGTCTGTGCAAAAGAATTATATCATTTAAATATATAATAATTATAAAAAATTTTATGTAAGAAAGTTTTGTAAAACTTTTGGGATTTGATACTTCACGCAACGATTCAATCTTAAGAATAATGAACGGATTACCGAAGCACATGCCACAAAGGCCCGTAAGGGTGGTTAATACAGCAATCCAACCAATGTCGCCTTCGCAAGTGACTTTGAAAATCGCGAATGAGACGATGAGGACCATCACAACTTGCCCGAACATTACCGTGAATTGCGTAATTACTTGACCAAAGAGAATCTCCGTACCAGTGACGCCTGTATAAGATTACAAAATTAATTATTTATTTAGTAAGATTTATTAATTTAAATTCCAGCAGATATGTGTGTACTCCAAGATTAATCTATCTAGGATTTATCTAAGATTTATCTAGGATCGGAATACATTTTTTACTTATTACGGTTTTTAATATTTTTCTCTTTTCTTATATACGGACCTGATACAAGGCTTCTTTCTAGCAGACCTTCATTTCTTTCTAGCAACATAGCGCCCGACGTCAATGCGACTGAGAGAAAGAAAATAATTCTGAAAAAACACGAATTCTTTTAATGCTAATAAATTTTTCTTGAATGAAGACATTTAAATTTAATGTATATGTACATTATTGTATTATATTGACATTAAGGTAAATATACTTACGTTAGAATCACTCCGGGCGCTGCAAAATCCGTGAAGTTAGGATCATAAGGTCCAAAGATTGGCGTTTTAAACTAACATAACAATTATAATAATAGATATAAATTGTTGTAAATAATAATTTACAAACGTAACAAAGATAATATTAAAATGCTATGTATAGTGATAGAAATTAGACAAAACATTATTTCTACTTTCATATATGGTTTTATAATCAGCCTAGTACTGGGCCATTACTGATTGCCATAGTCCAGGCGCAGTTAGTGTTTCTGATTTCTCGACATTTTTTATTTCTAGAGAAAGAGAAATACACATATAGATTTAATCGAGCAGTTTTAATTTCACAAGATTTAACTCTTACATGTTACTAATTACATCTTATTTTATATTAATACTTATTACATATATAAATTTATAGTAAAAATATATAGTAAATACATATTATACTATTATATTACATACTTAATAGATGAGAAATAAAATACATCTGTACCCAAATAAGTTTTTATAAATTAATTTAAATGCATAACTTTTTAAAAAACTTTAAAAAGAATTATTTGTTTTCAAACAAATGCTACAATTGTTACATAAAAATTAAAATATTTGTGTTCTCTCATAAATTATGAATCATTAAAATAAATTTAAACGATTTTTTATTTATTCTCTTTTCTAGAAATTATTTTTGTGATTTGAAATATCCTTAAAAAAAAAACAGGAAACATTTAACGTTATGTTAGTCAAAATAAGTTTTTATTACAAAATCATTTGCAATAGAAAAATTGAGCTCATTTTGCGTAAAAGTAGGTTTAATGATACACAATGCATGGAAAAGTTGTTCCAAGCTTTGAGTTTTCATACCAGTAATAATTCGGAATAAAATTTTTGATTTCTCGAGAAATAACAATAATTTCTCGAGAAGTGTGAAATTTAAATTTATTGTTTTTTTCAAGAATTTCTCAAGAAAGAATTCTCGAGAAGAAATACTAGGCGCAGTATTGGCAAACTACTGATGCAGTATTGGATAGATGATCCCAGTATTGGGCCCAGTACTGGTTAATCTTGGCCGTTCAGTTGACAGTCGTGTAGCGTTCGTCAAGCATTAGTTTTGTTGTAACTACTGGCGATCCTATATGAGCATATTAACATAGAGTGCGTTCCGATATTCACTGCCAGTGCTGAAACTATACAGTATACGTTACATGCGCTATAAATTTTCAGCACTGGCAATGAATATCGAAACGCGCCCATAATTGTTTACTTACGCTTATGGGTATGCTCGTTAACTTCTCGCTGTAATTGCAGGCCACAGTGACTTCCTTAGCGAAATCCAGATATGCGTATAAGAGATCCTTTTGTAATAACTGGCCTATTTGTTGATCTGCGAAGGTATATTGCGTTAGAGTAGGTATTTATATCAGAACTCTCAAATAAAAATTATGTAATTTTTTTTTATTAATTATCGGAAGATGTTTATTTTTCAAGATTGAGTCTTTTAAGATGCAACATTTAGAATGCTACATAAAAACATGAAAAATTATTTCGTTCTGTTTCACGTTCAAAGAAACTTACTAGACATGTCCATAATAATTTTCATCTCCGAGAAATTAATGTCCCATTCCTCGGCATTTCTGCCGAAATCTATCCTTGCCATAAGAGCTTCGGAATAGTTGGATGGAAACGTTATAGCTCCCCATGCCCATCCCTTTACCACTGCATTTCTGGCTTCTTCATCATTATTGTAGGGTAATAACTGTATAGTTTTTTTCTGTAAGTGCTGAAGATATCGACAGCTTAATAGCGACCAATCGCATCCGGTTCCAGGAATACACGGTTGCATACTGTTGTTGAGTTCGTGGTTGACAATGGCTAATTTTAATCCTATAGGATCCTTACCAATGGAGATGCAGAAGAGGACTATTTGGGCGACCGGTAAACCAATGATAAATAACATCATCCTGTAAGATGTAAGTGAAAATAAGAGATAAAAAAATTAGAGAATAAATTAAGAAGTGAAAGAAAATTTAATATAGAAATGTGATTAAATGAATTTGATTACCCGACGTTTCGCCACATCCATAAAAAGTTTTTCCAGATAAGAGCTTTCATATGCATTGGATTAATAGTATGTTTGGAAGAACCTTTTTCTTCCGGTGGCAATGATGACACCTATTAAAAGGCATACAAGAATAAATAAAATTTATTTAGCAATTATATCAAATTATGTAAGAAATTATTTAATAAATAATTACTTATAAAAATAATCATTAAATAGCCTTATTTTATAATTAAGTAATTTTATAATTAAGTAAAAATGCTATACATATATATATAAGAAATTATTACTTGTACATTGCCATCATCCACAATGACTACACTTTTCCGTCGACTAGATATGCTCACATTATCTCCGAATTCACCACTCATTTCATCTATTTCGTCCTACAAAACAAAGAGATATTAAAAAATGTTTTAATAAGCTATATTGAGAATACAAATACTCAAATTTTAGAGTAAAGTAGATGTCTGATCTTTAAAACATTTATTGAATTAGCCTCGGTAGTTTAAAGGTTTAGGACGCTTGTATGAAATAGAAAAGATCTGGAAAAGATCGATTTCCGGTCGAGGTAATATTTTTTGCAATAAATTTATTTATAGTTTTTCAACACACTAACATCTTTTTAATATCATATTGGATTGAACATCAAAATTAAAAATTTGCTTGTAAATTTAATTGAATTCGTGACATTATTACGATAGTTTAATTGTGTTATAAGTCGGAAAAACAATTCGGAGCGCAGTTCGAATGATTACAAATATAGTATATGCATGTATATATATATATATATA